TAGAAAGAAAAAAAAAATCCACTTACCCATCTAAACTCATGTCTCTCTCTTTTAAAGGGTGGATTTAATTGAATGATGAGAATTTTAAAAAAGGGTTCTATTTTTGTTGAAAAAGAAGAGAAAAATGTGATATAGTTTGGATTGGGAAAGAGAGAAAAAAAAACCAAGGTTTTAATTAACGTTAGACATGACTTGACGACAATGTTAAACCTTGAATTTTTACGAGCCGTGGCGAGCCACATTGTTTGTAAGGTGTGACATAAGACGATAATTTTGTATATATTTAAGAATTATATATATATATATATATATATATATATATATATATATATATATATATATATATTTCAAATGTGTTTTTTCTATTAGACCTCTAGTAAGCTTCATAACTTTCTCTGACACCTATGTTATGTATACATGTATGATTTTTTTATAAGTTATGTAAAGAAGTTTATTGAGTTTTTTAATGAACACTTTTAATGTTTCATAATAGTTTTTTATATTAAATTTCAATATCGAGACTATAAAAAATATGTACAAAGTCTAGCATAAGCTCTAATAGAGGATACATGAAAGATGGTAGAAATATTCGATTGCATTTTGTTATAACTATGTAGTTTTTGATGGTTCTATACCTAATATTAAATACATAACAATCATATATTCTCTAAGCCCTATATATATATATATATATATATATATATATATATATATATATATATATATATATGTGTGTGTGTGTGTGTGTGTGTGTGTGTGTGTGTGTGTTTTGAGGTTTAATATAGAACCATTATTAACTATGAAACCAAGGAACCAATTTTTTTTTCAACTTTTAGAGCTTATTTTTAATAAAAAAAACAAAATAAAAATATAGAAATTCATAATTTTTTATCATTTTTCCAATGATATCAAATTCGATTAAAAAATTATATTTTTCGTCAAATTTACAGTGTGAATCTGTGCAGATTCACAATGTGAATCTGAACTCAGACAGTGAATCCGGAAAATATATTTAGCATTCACAAAGTGAAGTTATGAATTCATATATTTTTAATTTTTTTTTTTTTTTTTTGATAAAGACTAAGCTCTAAAACTTAAAAAAATATATAATTGGTTCCTTAAAAAACCATTGATAATGGTTTTCTATTGAACTTTCTCTCTCTCTATATATATATATATATATATATATATATATATATATAATATTATTATTATTATTATTATATGCATATATAATTTAAGACGAAATTTTGTTAAAATTTGATATCTAATACAAATATTGGAGCCACACGAAACCATGCTTTTGAGAACCTTGAGGAAAACAAATATGAGGAAACAAGTGGCATCCCTCTCTTATCGGCAATACACACCTCTCTTACTTTTTGTATTTTTATTTTTGTAATATTTATTTTATATACAACAAAATAGGCGGGAAGTAACAAGTGAGCAAGTCCAACGTCTAACAAACTAACACACGTGTAAATTACTAAATGCCCTTGTGCAGCTTAATTAGGAAATTGAAGCTAACAGTTTCGTACTTCAAAGTACATAAAAGGTTTCATTCCAATTGGGCCCCGATTCATCACATTTTCTCACTCTTGGCAAAAGATGCCTTCATGACCTTGGGCCCAAAACACCTCCCATCACAATTCACAAGGGTAATTCTGTAATACAGAAATCCATTTTTAACTTCAACTAGGAAAGGTCCCCTGCGTTGCGGGGTTTGGAAGATTTTGCTATTTATCATTTGTTATCTTATCAGTGTTCATTATATAGCCACTATCTATTTGCGTATGAAAACAGTGTACATTCAATTGGTAGAATTTTAAGAGAAACGAAAGTAGAATGCTATAACAAACAACTTGATAAAAGTAGATTGATATTTCTTGTATTTTTAACATGTGTTTCGTACTAATTTGTTTCCTATTCTGTGTATTCAACTCACGAAATCAGTGACATTCAACTCACGAAATCAGTGACATTCCTCTATTAGCCACATGTATAATGGTATTTGGTACTTGTCTAAAACTTGTAATATTAAACATAGGTAAGATCTAATAATTAGTCCACCTTAGCTACTTCACAGGATAACAATATTTAGAGAAATGTTTAATTGCAAAATAAGATAAAAAGATTTGATTAATTATGGAGTTATTCCATCAACAACAAAATTAAGAGCGTTATAAACCTGAAAAAAAAAAACAAACAAACATGCTTACATTGATATTTGGATATATGTGGGTAGATCTTTTAAGTACAATGTTATAATTGGATAGATAATCTCAAAGTACAATATCTAAAATAGAAAATAAAATAAAATTAAAACATTGTAATAAAAAAATAGGTTAATATAATGCAATTTCATAAAACTATATATGTGGTATTGAGAGAGAGAGAGAGAGAGAGAGAGAGAGAGAGAGAGAGAGAGAGAGAGAGAGAGAGAGAGAGAGAGAGAGAGAGAGAGAGAGAGAGATTTTTTGTTCATAAAACTCACATTCACAGCACAATCGCTGAAAAATGACTTATTTTCACAATTGCTTTTACATTACAAACCTCCCAACCACTACCTTCTTTGTAACATTCCACCTGCCAAAAAAATTAAATAATGAAAATGCAAGTCAAAACACAAATGGGAAAATAGTTAGGAAAAAAGTCAAAGTCATGGTTTACATATACATACAACGTCCAAAACGTGATTCTTTTCCGTGGATCTGCCAATTGTGTACAGTGTTTCTCCAATCACAAAAGCACCAAAATTGCCTCTACAGACATTCATTTTTCAGTAGAACCATTGCCATTTAATGGCAACCCTTCCTTTTGTTCATATCTGGAATTTTTAACCATTTGTCTTCACGTGGATCAAGCATTTCAACAGAACTACATCACATAAAAGAGTATTCCTTTATGTTTAGCATCCTCTTAAACTGCTGACCTCTAACAAAACAAACAATAAATGAACTTTAGAGCAAACTGAAGTGACATTTTACTAAATATGAATGTAACAGTAAAAGTACCTTGTTATTCATGGAATGAATGGGGAGCTACTTGCCATTGTTGAGATCAAGATATTATACCTAAGACGAAATATGACTTTCTTTATTACCACTAGCCACAAAAAGTTTGTTGTTAACTACAGCATCAGCAACATGGATGTTGTTTCAATATAAAGGTGGTCTTAAAACCAACTGATTTATTGTCGAGACGGATGATTCAACTACCAGTAAACAAAAATATGGTTATAATTTATAAGTTATTATAATATGTAACAAATTAAGAAGATTAATAATCATTACCTTTGCTGCTGATCCGTATTTACTATATTCATTGTTCTGAATGGGATTCTAACATAATAAGATGGGTAATATGAATCTAGACATGCCAACCCATCATATCTAGCAACAATGAACACTGAGTTGGAAATTTTTGAATGTTTTTTGCTTTGTAGCCTATTATCAGAATCTACTCCAACAGAGCATGATCCAGATTCCAAAACATCAATCTTGGTTTTGAGTTGTTGGGTTTCTAGTTTTGATTTATCCTGAGTATAGCCAAATCACATAAATTTATAGAAATAAGACAAATAAAATATCTAAGAAATTGTTTATGATTTTTAAGTGTACCAGTACTTGTTCTAGCAGATTGATGTTTGTAATCTGCTTTGAATGTGATCCCTTCAGCTCTTCAACTTCTTTCATCAACTTTATGCAATAAAAATATAATCTTCATTAGACTATATCACAAATAATGCATATTAGCTTTAATCATCATCATTCGAATTGAGTCTTCCACGGCCTCTTTAATTTCCATGATCTGCAAACAAAATCTGTTGACCCCTAAAGGTTAAACCACAATTTCCATGATTGTGCGTGCCATTATGGAAAGAAAAATGAAAATGAGAACAAAAAAAAAAAAAAAAAAAAAAAAAAAAAAAAACACACACAAAATCTCAAAATTACCTCACGTTCTTCTCTGCTTTTTAGAGAACTGTAGTATTAAGTATCATAAACTGTAACAACTTTCAACCTGCAATATTATCCAGATCGAATTCATAAGCATAAAACGAAGCAAATGAATAGATGAAGCAAACAAATCTAGGGAAAAATGGAGGTACAAAATAGAGTTTTTGGAGTCAAGATCTTTCAATTCCTGAGTTTGCCACCAGAAATCATAGAAATTAAACCCGAAAAGGATGCAACACTTATCGTCTACTTTAAGCAAAGAATAAGGTAGAAAGAAACAAACACCTGTTAATGAATTTGCTTTGGAAGTGACGATGAAAAGGGGAAGAACGAACCCAAATGATGTAATTCTTGGGTGATGAAAGATCATCTGCACCAGAATTGAACTCTGTTGATATTGGTTGATCGATTTATGAACCAAAAGATAGAGTGGAAGAGAAACATGGGTTATGGGGATTTGAATCTTGTGAAGAGTTTCTGGAAAGAGATCCATCGTCGACGGTGGTAGCGATGAAGGCGACGACAAGTTGGACGTTTTGGGAGAGATAAATGGCACGGTGTGGTGAAGATGGAGTTAAAGGCGGTGGAGATGCTGAGTTTTTCTAATGGTTTCCATTGGATAAAAAAAATAAGGTGGAGCAAGAAAGAAACACGTAGCAATTGGAACGTTCTCCAACCAATGACTCAGATTACAGATAAATAAAACAATATAAAATTGAGAAGCACCATTGACCAGTCATTGACGAAATTGTTAACAAAAATTGACCAAGAATAAAATTCGACAAATCATAGAAAGATATAAAATCCAGGGTGTAAAGTGAAAAAGGACCCATTTTTACCGTTGACAAAGGGGGTTCTAAATTTATATGTATATATAATATAATTGCATGAAATTACAACGATTTATTTAATTTTCTATTTTACCTATCAAAAAACAAATTTAAATAAATTAATATATTACATTCTTTTAAAAACCAGTATTTAGACATTTTAGTTTGTTAACAATAATCACTATCCAAAACATCAACTTACAATTCAAAACCTAGATCAATTTAATAGAACTTATATAAAATTGGTGACGTAATAACATATCTTAGCTAATAATCGTATTTAGAGTAATAAAACATGAGAAAATGACTCTGACATATTTAAAAGGGTAAGATTTCAGATATTCGTTTTCACTGCGCAGAAGCTTCTTTGCCATTCACTCTTTGAAGATCCAATCCCGAAGAACAAGTTTGCAGAGGGTATTGCAGAATCATTGAAAATTGCCAAAATATCCCTTCAGATTTGAATTATCCTTAAAAGGAAATCTCTTCACGTTCTCAATAACTTATAGGTCTCAACCAAACATCATACTAATAGAAACAAACAAATTTATTCAGGAAATCCAAAATATACAAAGAATCCAGCAAATTTAAAGCCATAAATTAGGCCAAATAGTCAGAGTCATACATTGGCCACCAAATTACAAAAACAGCTTCAGTCAGGATTAGGAATCATCATCAGCACAAGTAGCTAAGTTTCCAACATCATCCAAAAACCATCCCTTCAATCAACACAAAATCTTCCCAGATCAACATCAAGATCATCAGCTCCCATCATCATGCCCAGTGTGTACTCCCCTCCATCAGTCTCAAACCTATTTAATTCAGCTCCTACAAAGTCATCCAGATTAACCAAGTTCACCAAGTCACCAAAAATACCTTCATTTTCATTGGGTCCCACGCCTTTGACTTCAACCCCCTGCATGCATGCAAACAATACAATATAATCAATCTACAAACACAAGAAAAGCAAAATCACCATTTTACCCTTCCTAGATCAAAAGGTTTACCTTGTCTTTGTTGTTGCTATTAAGGCCACCAGTAGGCACCCCCAAAATTGAGGCAAGGTCTTCATAAAGCATGACATCATCATCATTGCCAGGTGTATCAATTGCATTTGCAGAAGAAGATGGGCCTGGTTCAGTTAGGGTACATGTACTTTGAGGTAAAGTCTTGCTGATTGTAACTGCTGGACCTTTCTGCTTGTAATTTACAGTCTCATTTGCAGAATATGTGACTGTAGATGAACCTTGTTCAGTTAAAGACAGGGTGAGTGGGCCCTTCTGCTTATAATCCGGCTTGTTTGTGGGCCCAGAACAGCTTGCCACATCATCATCCCACTCCTCTTCATTAAACGGTGCGCCATATTGTGCACCATTTTTCGGCCCTGCACCCTCTTTCTCAAAGATTTTACACAGCACATACATATCCTGAAATACAATGTGTTAAAACATTATAATATTACCATTTGTTTGCTAAATTGGAGAGATATAAACAGAACAACCCTAATAAAATACCTGAATGACGCCTTCATCAGCTAACTTTTGATCTTCCATATTGTATTCATGCATGACCCAGTTTGTTCTTTGGCCATCTGATGCAGTTTTTAGATGAAAAACCAGAGTCTTGATTCTTGCTACAATTCTTCCTTTGTATTCAACCTTCCTGTCTTTCCCAGTGGCTTTCCAGAACCCAGATTCAGTTGCCCGGTTTGATCGGGCCCCACTTGAATATTTTTTTGATTTCGGGCAAAAAAAGAACCACTCCAAGTCTCCACTTTTTAATGAGGATTTATCTGAATATTCCGAAAGGATAGTTTTGTAAGGTAAAAAGAAATATAAGCAAAAGTAATGCAGATAAAAGTTCAGTTAAAAGATAAGACAATGCACAAAAGTAGTTGAATGATTAATAAGATTTGGGCGCGTATTTAGCCATTGTTTAAAGTTTCTAATCACTACAAACCAATGTATTGTATGATGGCTTTATTGTTTTATGAAAATAGCATGGATTGGACATTTGAAATTTGTATACAATGTTTGAGATTAACACCCATTCTGCTTTTTCATGTTATGGAGTTTTAAGAGTCAGGATTCCTGTTATTCTCTTTTCTATGAAAATACATTGTTTGTGGATGTTTTAGCAAATTAGATATTGCTTTGCTACCTAGGCCTAAACCATATAGTGCTAGTATAAGCACATAGGTAATGATGTTGTGCCTAAGCTTAAACTATGACAACGTTAAAACTATGTTATGATGTTGAATACTCCTATGGAAGTAAATGATAATATGATATTTAAAGGTGATGTAAAACAATGAGAACAATGGGTTAAGTTGTAAGTATACATTGTGATATGATTTGGAGATAATCTATCTTACCTTATGTTTACAGTGACATAATGAGTTGCATTGTATGTTGATTATGTGTTTTACTATTTAGCTAATTCTTATTATCAGTAAGTCAGGTTGGGCAAAGAATACTTATATGTAAGTAAATATAGAGATCACTTCTTAGATGAAGATCAGAAGAGAAGTACTAAGGAAAACAATGAAGGGGCTAGCAGTTTATGATGATCATGCAGTTAGTGGGTATCAATTTTTATGTAGAAAATACCAATGGGATTTAAGTATATGAATGTTACGTGTTGTTTAGGAAAAATATTGCATGATTCTTTTAATAACACAATATAATAACATGTTTATAAGGAAATTGCCTAAGATGTGTACAAAGATAGCAGATGATTTAGCATATATTGTGCAATGTTAGAACTTACGAGGAAGTTGTAGGTAAAGTGTATGTAATGATGCAGGAAGTAGTGTTACACGCATATGCAAATGATGAAATGATCCTATAAAGCATCTGCAAAGTTTGTAATCAAGAAAGATTAATACCTGGAAGATCCCAGGGACTAAACTCATAAATATTGACCTCAGCAACAGCATTGACAATGATTCTCTTCCCCAATAACTTCCTCTTCAAATAGTACATTACCAACTCATGATCAGTAGGATGAAACCGAAACCCCGGAATGAGAGATGATCTTTCCATTGAAACAAAAAACTAATGAAATGTTCAAAAATCAATATCTTATGGAAACCAATAAATCTTTTGCTTAAATAACTAACTAGCAAACAACAAACACAAAATTCTTTATCGTTATCAGGTCCAATGGCGGAAAAATATCCACCCAAAGCTTCCCAGTCTTCCCCGGTTCATCAAGTGCACACGAGAATGTAACCAATTATGTGCGCAGGAGGTGGCAAAAGACATTTGTTTCCTGTATAAAAACACTATATATTAGAAGAACAATCAAACCCCAGAAGATAATAATAGGATTCTTGCTTCCATGAATGTCCCAATTGGTACACTAAACATAAAAAGATCGGATATAATTTGATACAAAAAACCAACACTGGAGTTGAATTTTAGTAGTGTTAATCTAAAACAAGTGTAAGAAACCAGACAAGATCGGAGTTAATTTACAAAAAAGGAACTCAAATCAACTTTGAAGTCGAGAACACTACCACGATTCAAACCAAAAGTCAACGAAAACCTAAATCATGGAAACGTAGTGTAATTTCAGTACAAGATTCACAGAAACCCTAGATTATAGAAGTCAGTCGAGTGGAATAACCCTAACGTTGGACGCGAATAACCCAGAGACAACAAATAATCGTAACTGATACCAAGAATAAAAAGAATTGAACTTACCAAGATTGCAGAAGAGATTGAAAAGAACAAGATTAACGATAGAGATACAAATAAAAAGAAAACGCAGAAGGGTAGCTTACCGGAGAAGGATAGGGATGCGGGTGGCGCGAGAAATTTGGAGGAAGCAGTGTGGTGAAAGTGAGAGGTACGAAGGGCAGAGCTTGGAGGTTTTATGGAATGACAGTATACCTGGCCCAGCCCACGCGTATTCCACTTGGTTTTGAGCACAAATTAACCAAATCAAGTGATAATTACTTAATTAGAAAGGTTATTTACATAAAAGTTTTCAAGCTTTTTTTTGTTTGATTAAAATATTTTTTTCATAAAATGGGTTTAATTTATGGTTGATTTTTCAAATAAGGATAGATTGGTAGTTTTTTTGTACCAATATCGGTAATGATATGATTACATGTGAAACATATGTGTATTTTGTAACGTCCCGAATTTAATCCAAAATTTTTATTTTTAAATAAAAGTGATCATGCAAATCTTATTCCCAAAAAGTATGATAAAACATTCATTTGTTATGTCAAAAGATGATCAAACCAGAGTAATATAATGATAGTAAAATCAAATCAGCAGAAGTCTCCAAAACATATCTATGGATACGATGCAATCAAACCATGTCCTTCCCGTTGCAGCCAAACCACCTGAAAACATTTAACTTAAATGATTAATCACAAAGCTTAGTGAGTTTTTCAAGATACCATATATCCAATATGAATGTTGTGATTCAACCATAGTCTTACAACCACTTTTGGTGCTACAGTCTCACTACAGTCGTTCCTCTTATAATCTCACCATAGTCTTTCATGCAAGTGTTATGGACCCATAGTCTTTCATACAAGTGTTATGGGCCCTATAGTTTTTCATACAAGTGTTATGGCCCACATAGTATTTCATACAAGTGATATGGTCGCCATAGTCTTTCGTACATGTGTTATGGCCCCCATACTTTTTCATGTAAAAGGCCGCAAAGACAATCTAACATACCATGAGTCCATGACACCTAGTATCCTACATAGTATAGTGAGAAAACTCATATGATTCTAGTAGCAGAACTCAACAGTGACCTCTACAAGTGGATCAGCTATCACAAACCACCAAATTACTCAACCGAGAACAAAACTTAGTCCAACACTCAAATCCATTAAAACTTAACCAAAAGTCATACCGATCAGAAAATCAATAGTTAAAGGCTATTCACAGCGCAACCCAGCTCTTGGTCGTGATGCTACCACAAAATGTCAAAACAATCTCAACTCAAAACTTGTGTCACAACCCATCATTGGTCACGTCCCAAACTCTGAGGCAAAATCATATTTCCATTAAGTTCTTAATACCTTAGGACTAAGGCTCTAACTTTCCAGATCACATCGAAATAATGACTTAATAGATAAAGTTTCCAACTTTATTCATTTGCATGCCTAAAACACAACCATCTTTAAACCTAGGTCTAAAATTCGACCAAAATGATACAATTTTCATGCATGGTCAAATGGGAAGTTGGTCACTCACACAATGCACCACTAAGGGTCCAGAATAACAGTCAAAACCATCTTTTAACCTGGAGTTATCCAAACTCCAAGGAATCAATAGGAAAAAGGACCCATTAAGCTCAAAATACTAGACCTAGCATGGAAAAGCCTTAAAGGTAGGAGCTTGATGACTTATAGAGCACTAATTTAGATTTATTCGGAAATTTTTTTTAGTGTCACCCCTACTAAAATGTTTTGCGTCCGCCATTGATGATAAGAAAGCTTATATTCTCTAGATCTAGCTTTTAGTGCACCAAATCTTCTTGTTTCTTCCTCAAGCTTCACCAAATTACACCAAGAACACCAAAATGGGATGAGAGCGGCTAGGGTTTTGCGAGTTAGGATTTCTGGAGGTTTTTAGTTGCAAATGAGAGAAATTCTTTGAGTTAGAGTCTTTAAATAAGGCTTAAGGCTTGATATCACTTCACTTTTACAAATCATTATTGAACAACTCTTCCCATATCGTTTTCAAAGTCAATGTTTGTTCGTCCCCAAACCATCGACCATAAAAAACGAATACAAACTCATCAATCATCGCTACTCGACACAAGATCAACAATCGACATCTCAATTTCAATGCTTCGATTAACATGTGTTCCCCATTACCAGACCCCAAAATCGAATCACACTTCCAACCATTCTTCGCTTTTAGTATTCAAATCAAATCTTTAAACCATAAATCCTTGATTTCGAACCAATAACCAACGTCAGTCGATCTTTCCAATTAAGCCATTCCAAATCGACATTAACTCCAAAATCGATTCAAAATATCATTATTCGACTCTTTTAATGTGAATCGGACTCAATACCAAACACGTCAAAAACATATACAGACCCTTCGATTATTAACTTCAAAATCAATTGACTTTTCAGTTTGACTTTTCGATTCCAGATGCCAAAACACCAATTAGTCGAATCAAACTCAGATACTACAAAATCAACATCTTGATATCGATTCCAACACTTTCAAGTAAGTACAACTTGAAATCAGGTTCGATTTCGATTTTGTTTTGACATTAACAGCAAGCATTCGTCATATACTCATCAAATACCAACGATTCGAACATTTCGATTTCAATTATTCCTCGACATCGCAATTCCTTCTCTCGATTTGAGTGAATCTTGAACACTAACAACAGTTGAAATTAATTTTGACCACAAATCTATTCGAATCGATGAGGAAATGAACAGCAATGAGTCAAAGTTTGACTTTTATACATCTCAGTCATTTAATTTGTAAAATACGTTCTGGATTAAAATGAATAGTGTTTGAGATTATTGGGCTCACAATATCATGGATCAAAATAGACAGTATCAATATGTAGATTAAACTGGGCTTCGAATTGAATCAAACGAAAAAAAAATTCAAAATGGGCTGAATGGATGAACAGTACTCGAAATTAAAAAAATGAGTTTGATTTTGGTTTTGATCTAAACAAAAATAATTGGATCAATCAAATGGGTTGAAACGAATTTGATTCAATGAGGAAAATCGATAAAAAATGAAAAACGCAAAATATGAATCGAAATCATGGACGTTTTTTAATCCATTTGAGAATTTGTGATACATTTTTGACGAATTGATTTCCATTTGCAACAAACGAATCAAATTTAGAAGATCTTGGTTATTTTGTTGGAACGAGAAAATCTCTAATTTGAACATTGTACCACCCACGATGTGTGTTGTACAACTCGTTCTTCGTGTTCTTCAACGATCCAAGAACATCTTCATAAGAATCATCATCACTTTTGGGTTTTGACTTCAATTCAATGCAACACTTGGAGATTGTTGCTTTGGAACCTAAATTTGCTTCATGGATTTCAGATTCACAACAACATTTGACGATTTTTGTGAATAAACCCGCTTGTTCTTCCGTTTAATCTTTTTCTTCTTTTTCTTTCTCATCTTATTGCATCTTGAAGATTTGATTTCAAGAACACCTTCATTCTTGACAACTTCAACTTGACAAGTTTGAATCAAATATTTTGGAGTTTGATACTTGTGAATTTCTTGGATTAACGGCTTTTGATAAGGAATCATTCCTTCAAACGAATCACAAGAACACAAAATATCATCGGTTTGAACTCCAATCGAGCAAAAAACTTTTTCATCTTCATGAAAATCAACTTGAACTCCTTTTTCTTGAACATCAAGAACACAATGAACATCATTAAGAACATGTTCTTGAGCTTCACGACAATCTGTATAATATTCAAGTTTATTGCTTCCATATTTACATTCAGCAAGAGGAATTCCTTTTATGACTTCACCTTCTTTCTTATTTCTTCGTCTCTCTGGATACGTTGTAATCAATCGATCAAACAAATCTCTGTTTTGATAAATTGGATGAATAATTAATTCTCCAACCTCATTCTTTTCTCCATTTGAAATGAGTGCATCTTCACTTTTCAATCCAATAGTCAAGCAATAAAGAAGAGTTTCAAAAGTGTATTCGCCTAGAAAATCTTCATTCTGTATCAACCATTTCCCCATAATTGCTTCGTCCCTTTCGAATCAAACGATATGAACTTGGGTTTTCTAGAGAGAGAAAGTGATAATCAAGGAGATCTCTAGAGAGAGAAAGTGAATATGAACCAAATTCTAGAGAGAGAAAGTGGCACAAACAAGTATTCTAGAGAGATAAAATCGAATTATGGATCAAATCAATGAAAAATTCGATTTCTAGAACACAAAACACTCTCTAAACATGAAGATCAATAAGAACATGAAGAATCACCAAATCTAAAATGTCATCATGGATCAATTCTTGATCAAATCAAGAACACCCGCTCTGATACCAATTGTAGTGGTGTTGATTATGATGACAAATGCGGAATTGATTAGATCTAGTGAATCATCATACAAATCATGAACACATGGAGTAAATAAATATGGGTTTAGCTCTCATTAGATTGATTAGAAAGAGTACAAGTGGGTCTTGTTATTTCTCTCTCTAAACTAATGCTCTCAAAATGATCATTACAATATCTTACATAATGGGAGTCACTCACTTCCTATTTATAGGAAATACTCAACCCATTTACACATACAAGAGGGTAAGCCACTAAACACATCCAAGCGTGACTTTGCACCCTAACATTCTCCCCCTCAAAGTTAGGATTGGATGTCTCGGTTTCTGATTGATCATGAGTGTCTGAAATGGGCTAATCAGTCATTATATCAGCATCTGGAATATCAACAACAATAATTTTATTTGAAGATTAACCCTTCCAGTTTTAGTCATCTCAGGATGAGATGGAGTTGGTGCAATTACCACCATGTGCATTTGTTGATCAGAAACCCTTGATTATTCTCCCCCTTTTTGGCATCGTCAGATAGGGGAGGAGAGTTGGGAGGAGTGAAAGGAGGAGGATGAGATGGTGGAGGAGATGGTGAAGTAAGATTTGGAGGTGGAGGTGGAGGTGGAGGTGGAGGAGGGTTATCACCTGGAGAGTTTTAGTGGGTGTCATCAACAACCATATCATCATCATCATCATCATCATCACCCAAGGCCATAAGTCGCTTCATCACAGCTACATCCCTTTCAACTTTAGTCAACCTTTTATCCATTGATTGAGTTAACTGCACAAATAAAGAGAGTTGAGAAAGCATAGCAATTTGAAAGTTGGAGCTAGATTCTTCCTTATTATCCTGATGAAAAGCAGAAAAATTGATAGGAGTTGGCGTAGAAGGAACATTCTCAGCTTGAGGAGAAGGAGATGATGACTCATCTTGGATCATTAGTTCAATAGTTTCCACAAAAAGAGAGGTTGATCCATGTTGTACAACAATATCTACAGAGGGAGTGGATGAAGAAGTATATGAAAATCGAATGTGATTGTTCATATCCCCCTTTGATTGATAATATATAGGAGTTACTTCATTTCTAGCTAGGTTCTCCCCCTTTTTGACATCAGCAGAAAATAAAACTAGAGGAGAAAATCGTAGAATCTGAGTTGCAGCTTGCAGTTTAGATAGATTGTGATGTTTCCTGATAGTGTGGGCTTAAACTACCACTCATTGACATAGTATTGCGAGATCTCATCAACATGTGGTTTCATACGTTGAATCATTAATCACTTTTATTAGAAGAAAAGGGAAAGAGTTGTATGATGTGTGTGATAGTCTACAGTACATAGACTAACCATCGACACAAAGTTTCAAACTTTTATCAGTGTGTGGTATAACACAGTGAATCGTCAAGTTTTTTTAAGAAGATAAAGGAAAGAATGGATTGTTTCAGTCACACTGAGGTGGAATCGGTGTGAATCATAAACAGTTTAACTCATCAACAAGAAGTGGTTTAAAATTATGTATCATAGAGTTAGTTGCAGTCTAGAATCAAAGATTCATCGTTAACTCATAATGGTACCATGTCATACCTTAGACTAGGAGGTTAGGGACATGAACAACCCTTTGTCATTTAAGGACCAAACAAGTAACTCTTATGCTGATAACTATGCAATCAGTATAAGCCATTGGGTTATGCTCAATGTTTCAGCAGAACATGAGACTTGATGCATACGGCAAGCATGCTTCCAGGGACAAGTTCAGGTAGGATAGCTAACTAAGAATAAACACCCAGGCCTTTTTATCAATTTTTTTATTTAGACTAGGCAATCTCACTTAGAAAGTTTAGACAATGCTATACAATCAGCATGAGGGGGTGACTCAATGTTCTCAGCAGATGGTCTCGTTGATGAGAAACTTAAAGAGATTTAGTCACATACAACAACATGCTTTTAGGGATGATGATTTGTCAAAAGTTGCATACTAGGCTTAGAAAAGTCTCCACCAGATCCCCTTAAAAATATACAAATAGAGACAAAAGAGTTAGTCAAACAAGAAAATATTTTAAACAACAAAATATGTGCAGCTTTTTCAGAAAGGTGATAAAAGACTCGTTCCATCAAATTTTTAGAATTGAATGGTCATAAATGCACGTCCATTTTCCGAGATGTCTACCCCTTGAATTTTGGCTATATAAGAGAACAAACAAGATCAACCATATCACACAAAAACACATTTCACAGTAAACAAAGAGAGAGAATGTCTTTAATCGTTGAGATTTTGCATATTCATTCCAAGCTTCATGTTCACCAAGAACAAAAGAAGAACATGAACTATTCTTTGTAACCAACGAGTTAGAAGGATCCAATCTTTGTAACCTTCGAGTTATGAGAGCCACCAAGATAATACTCGAAGGTTCCATTCATTGTGATCCATGAAGGAAGAGAAGGTGGGATCGCTGTCTTGTTGAAGACGTCTTTGGATCTTTGAGGTGATGGAGAGTTAATGACAACATCTCTGGAAATTAGGTGTGTCATGTCACCGAACTCCACTTTATCTCACTGCAACCAAAATAGGTTGTTCAAGACAGAAGAGATATGTATCCAGAAGAACACTTGGTGGCACAGTTATCCCCCATCTGGTCTCATCAGCATGAGCATCAGTGTCAGTGATAGGGCAATTGGTGCTGAAGAAAATATGACGAGTTAGCGTCAACTAGCTCTTTCAAGGAGGGTGATGCATTCAAGGAATGACACGCGGATCTTAATCAGTTAAGATCAATGCTGAGATGGAGACAGAAGGTCCTGACACATACAGAGGAAAGAGAAGAACGAACATTGGCAATGTT